TGTGGGCATCTGGCACTGTGGTTCTTGCATGAAGACAGTAGCTGGTGGCGCCTGGACCTACAACACCACCTCGGCCGTCACGGTGAAGTCAGCCATCAGAAGACTGAAGGAACTGAAAGACCAGTAGAAGTTCCCCCTTTTGAAGCATCTCTAGCCTGTAATAAATGGGTTAATTTATGTAAAGAAAAAAAAAAAAGAACCTACAATTTGTAAAGTTCAATCAAATATTGACAGCTCTGATGATCTATTGTGTGTACCATCAAGTCAAAACTGACTGCTTGCCTAATGCTAAAGAATTGAACTGCAACCTAAAGACAAGCAAAAAAAAAAAAAAGACAAAAGCCTTAATAGGTAACATAATTTTTCATTTGTTTCTTGAATATAAAGTAATAACTCTTTTCTATAGAAATTTCCTGTCCAGTACACTTTGTATATTTTCTTCTTCTCTTCTATTATTGATTTATTTACATTATATAAATAAAGTATTGAATCTTACCACTTGTCTGTCTGTTTGCCCTACGATGATGGCCTGTGTTCTTCTTTCAGACAGATTTTGCTCAAAAGCAAATAATTCTAGAAGGATGTTTACTTTTATTTTATTGACTATGCAAAAGTTTTTGACTGGGTGGATCCTGTGGGAGCTTAGAAGTAAGGAGTTTTGCTGTCAATCAAAAGGCAGTTAATTATTATTATTATTGTTATTAGTACTATTAATCTGTCATTAACCAGGAAAAATCTGTTCTAACAGAAAAAAATGCAGTTTAAAAACAAGAAAGTTGTGTAATCTCTTTGCTGAGTTAGTAAGTTTATAATTCGGATTATATGTAGAAGAAGAAAGCATCAGGATTAGAGGAAGACTCATCAACACCTTTGCTTACTGAAAGTTAAATGAAGGTGAAATATTTACTGAAAGATATCAAAGGCTATAGTTTTTAGAATGGATTTGGTATCAACATCAAGAAAACAAAAATCCCCATTACTGGACTAATAGGTAACATTAGGATAGAAGGAGAAAAGGTTGAAGTTGTCAGTTATTTCATTTTGCTTTGATCTGCAATCAACAGTCAGTGCAGCAGAAGTCAAAAAAATTAAAAAAAAAGTGTTTCATTGTGCAAATATGCTGACAAGGACCTCTTTGAAGTGTTAAGAGCAAAGATGTCACTTTTAAAGACTAAAGTTCACAGACCTCAAGTCATGCTTCACATGCTTATGAAAGTTGGATGATAAATACGGAGGAACAAAGAATTGATTTATAGGAATTTTGCTATTTTTGAAGAATATTAAATGTGCTGCCAAAAGACATAAAAGAAAATCTGTCTTAGTAAAACTGTAGGCAGGTTATTCCTTAGAGGCAAACATGGTGAGATTTTTGTCTCATATATAATAAGCATGTTATCATGAAGATCCAATCATGGGAAAGGCTATCCAATATGCACGGAAAGGTTGAAGTCAGAAAAGATCCTTATCAAAATAGATTGATATAGTGACTTTAAGAATGTGTTTATGCACAGTAGAGTTTGTCAAAATGGTAAAGGATCAGGCAAGTTTCAGCCTTTTATACACGGGGTCCTCAGTGCTGTGGCCTTTTCTACACCCAATTTGAATCTCTGACAGGTCTCTGACAATGTGTTGTTCCAGCTGTTTTTGGATAATCTTCAGCAATATTTTCTTTGGAGGTGATGTTAATGATATTGTTCTAAAATTTCCACATACCATTAGAATGCCCTTCTTGGGAATGGGAACAGATATAGAACTCTTCCAATCAGTGGCCTATTAGCTGTCCTTCAAACATCCTGGCATAGTCTGATGAACAGTGCAGGAGAGGAAAGGCGTGAAGAGATGAATTGACATGGTAAATGGGGACTAAGGGGTAGGTGTATTTGAGTGTCTGAGACTGGCTAAGGATAGGGTAGAGTTCAGAGCTATGGTAGATATGGTTGCTAGGAATCATGAGCAACGTGGCACATAACAGTTTTCATTCACCTGAGTATATATTTGCCAAACACAATTACTCAGTTTAAGTATATATTTACCAAATACAATTACTCATTTGCTAAAGTGTCAAAGCCCACTAAATTTCAAACATAATTGGTAGACTATGTTGTTGTTGTTGTTGTTGTTGTTGTTACATGCCGTCAAGTTGCTTGCGACTCACAGCAACCGTATGCACAACACCCCTTAACTCTGCTCTGTCCTGTGCCGATCGCACTGTCTCTGACACACTTATCCCAATTACCCCAGTCACTGAATCAATACACCTCATAAAGGGCCTTCCCCTCCTGTGCTGTCCGTCCACCCTCCCAAGCATGATGTCCTTCTCCAAGGACCGGTCCCTCTTCACAACATGTCTAAAGTATGTCAGACGAAGCCTCTGAACCCTTGCCTCCAAGGAACCACACGGTTTAACCCTCTCCAGGTTGAATCTGTTTGTTTTCCTAGCAGTCCATGGTATCCTCAGTACTCTTCTCCAGCACAACAGCTCAAAGGCATCAATTCTCCTTCTATCCTCCCTAGTCATTGTCCAACTCTCTGATGCATACCATTTGATTGCAAGACCCTGACCTGTATCAGACACACCTTAGTCTTCAGAGAGACACCATTGCTCTTCAGAACTTTGGAAAGATCCCTAATAGCAGACTTTGCCAGTGCAATATGTCTTTTAATTTTCTGGCTGCTGATGCCAAGAGTGTTGATTGTGGAGCCAAGCAAACTAAAGCTGTGAACAATCTCAATCTCTTCACCATCCATCCTGATGCTGCCAATTGGTCCAGTGGTGAGAATCTTTGTCTTCCTGATGCCATTGGGTTAGCAGCACCATTGTCTAAGAACGATGTTACAATACTGTTTTCCTAAACTACGCCTAAAAACATTATGAGAAATTTTAACATGGTCTGTACTGAAACAATAGGTTATTTATTATTTTACAGCGTTAACATTTTAAATGAGAAGCATAAAGGAAAACCCAGTTAAAATGATAACTACACATAATTTGATAAATTATCTATGACATATGTATTTAAACATCTCCAGGGGATTTTATTTTAAACAAATTACTTGAAAAAACTATCACCTAGATAGAAAGTCTGCTGTCAGAGTCTCTCCAAAATACCGAAGAGCAACAATGTCAGTCTGGAGACTAAGGTATGCCTTACATAAGCCATGGTTTTTGCAATTACTTGCTATGCATCAGAAAGTTGGACAATGACTAGGGATGACAGAGGGTGAATTGATGCATTTGAGCTGTGGTGCTGGAAAAGAGTATTGACAATACCATGGACTGCCAGGATAACAAACAAGTTCATGCTGGAGAAAGTGAAGCCAGGCTGTTCCTTGGAGGCAAGAATTCTGAAGCTTCATCTGACATACTTTGGACATGTTGCAAGGCAGAATTAGTCCTTGGAGTGAGACATCATGCTTGAGGGAGTGGAGGGACAGCTCAGGAGAGAAAGACCCTCAATGAGGTGGATTGATTCAGTGACTGGGGTAATGGGGATAGACGTGTTGGAGACAATAAGATTGACACGAGATAGAACATGATGTAGGACTGTTGTACATAGGGTCACAGTTGACTTGACAGCATATAATAATAACAAAAACAACAGATTGATAAGCAAAGTAGTAATATATAAAAATAAAAATTTTCTGGAAAGAAACACAATAATATTTATGTAGGCACAAAAAACCTGTAGGATATTTGAACAACAATAAATACTTCAGTATAAGTGGGAGATAGATAGAGCACTGAAAGGAAATAAGAAAGAAGGATTAAGGTGGGAGCAACCAAAGATAGGTCAATAGCTGGTATGGGCTTTGAAATTTTTATTCTAATGTTGGATGAGAAGACAATGATAATTTTTACTTTGTAAGAACATTTTCATATTTGTGCTTTATAAAATAACTCTGGTTGCCTGGAGACACAAAATGCACAAACCATTCGGTAGGCCATTAGAGATAACGATGGGTAAATGATATGACCTACTGTAGGGATAGCGGCCTTAAGAGTAGTTGACAAGGATGAACAGAGGGATCATTTTTTATGTCAAGACCTTGTAAGGGAAGTTGAGACAGTAGGCTATTCTGAAGTGGAGAAGTGTCTAATGATTACTGAGACAGAAAGCAGAGGAGGTGTATACTTAAGTGTAACAAGCAGAGAGTAAGAGAGTTTCTTCAGCTATTGAGGAATGCTTTTACAAAGAAAATCCATGAAATGTTATATCAGATAAAGAGTCCATACTTAACATAATCAAAATTTCTACAGCTGCTACCTTATAGGAAGCAATTCAGTATTATCTATAAATGAAGGAGCAATAACAAATGAATTCTCATAACTCTTCTGTGCCTTAGTCTACCATGGTGCTTACCCACTTTGTGTGGCACAACTTCCAGATCTACCTGATAGTCTTTGAAAATTTACTGCCTGTGTAATGATTTTTCAGTAAATCAATAGGAGGTTGCTTTGGTTGAAACTTGTTTTATTGTTTGTATTTGGAAGGAATGGTTATGAAATGATTATGCAAAGAAATATGGTGATTATGGATATCTTACCTTTCCTTATTTTTCTCTTTTTGGGGTTGTCTAAGAACCTTGTTCTGAAATAATAGGTGAAACCAACTAGATTCAGAATCAGACTGCTATTGCTATTGTGGTTATTTTGAGCATGTCTGACTGAAGATATGCACAGTAAAGCTTCCTGTTGGTGGGTGAGTTATTGAAATGCCATATGATGGAACAGGCAGGGAAGATAAACATATTGCCGCATATAATAATGTTCCATCTGGCAACACTGACAGCCTTTGTTATCTGGCCCTTTTCCTCGCACAAGGGTTTCTCAATAACTTTGATAACATTATTACTATTCTATCCTGCATACATTTTTCATAAGCAATTATTAACAGCTTTATTTTTAACAAGAGTACTATGAGCATCACAGTTCTCTTGCATACATTTGCTGGTGCATTTACATATGTGTGGTTTAATGACTTTGCAATCCATAGTGCTTTTTTTACTTGAAGGATGTGATTAGAATTTATGCCTTTAATTTCCTAGAGCTCTTGCTTCCACTAAAAAAGGTAAGCAATCTTATCACTTTAACTTGATCATTATAAATTCATGCGTGCTAAATTAGTT